CTTTTAGTCAGACTGTCCAGAATTCAAAATCTCTAAGTTAGTATTATTTAGTTTTAGGGTATATGTAATATATTGACTCTTTAGGAAAGTATATTATTCATCATCAAACCTTTATTAAATACCTATTCTGGACAATCACTGCATAAACATAGTACGCATAAGCAGAACAGTATATGCATAAAATAAACAGCGCTGCACGGCAGCTGAGAATTTCCATTTCTGACAGTTGCCCGAAGTATTATAGAGAATTGAAGTGGCTTCTGAGGGAGGGGCATTTTTGAGCAAGCTTTTGAAAGAAGGGAGGACATTTGAAGCAGAGGATTTAATGATTTAAAGCTTAAAGAATGAACACAGGGTGTCACAAAACGGAGAGACCCTTTGAGCATGTGGTATGTTCCTGTGGATACAGACTGTAGATGTAAATTGTGGCCAGGGGATAGAGGCTCTTGTTTTCTCTTCTGCCCATGGTCTTCGTTATATAGGCAGTGGGGAACTCTTTAGGACTTTGGAACAGAGGATAGAACCCACAGTTGATTACTAGGAAATTAAACTGAGGAAGTGGATGGTGTAGAAAACAGAGTTTGAAGGCAAAATGAATTCATCCTCTTTGACCCCTCAATACGACTTATCACATTTTCTCGCTTTATTTTCTTCAGAGTATTTCCAGCTATCTGACATTTTGTGTATACTTGTGTGAGGCATCAGTTTCTCACTAGAGTGTATTCTCCTTGAAGTCAGGGCCCTTGAACTTATTATTCAGTCCTTCATTACCTGACACATTGTTGGCACTAATATATATTTGTGGAGTGAATTAATGAGTGAATGAATGTATACTTAGTAGATTCTAATAGGTCTGGGGTAGGTTATAACATTATAAGGGAAAAAAGTTCAAGATTATCCCAGTCTTATGTCATTCCATAAGATACTATACTCAGATGTTGAATACTAAAATTTGATAGTATTTTTCCTGTGTATTTTTCAAAATGAAGCATTTTCATTTCTCAGAGCATCATTATCATAAGAATGCCAGTTTTTGCAGATGTGCCATTTCCCTAAGTTTCATTTTAAAAGTTAAAATGTGCTTTTGTGTAAGATGTCCTTTTGTGTAAAAATAAACTGCTTTCTTAATTGTTATGCTATCGTTTTAACGATTTTTTTTAAGGCCGCACCGGTCTCTTAAGGTTCATTAGTACAGAGATGTTCAGATCTACTTAATCATCAGTGCCAATTCACCGTGTGACACTACTGTACATTTTTTCTTTGAAAATCAATGATGTAACATTATATTCCATATGACAAAAATCAACTCAGATTTTAGGGCTCATATTGGTCCTAACTGCTTTTATTTAGGGTTCGAAGAGGAGCCGTGAGGCACTGTTTTAAATAGATGAGGGGAGGGTGTGAACCATGTAATCCGCGTGTATCCCTCCAGGAGACAGAGAGTATGTTCCCATTTACATCACAGCTTCATCTCTCCAGTACCTTGAAGTCTTTCCCTTCCCAGCCCTCGTGCTTGCTGTTCCTGCTCTCCGAAATGTCCGTTCTCCAGCTCTTTTCAGCGATGGCTTTTTCTCACCCTTGGGATTTGAGCATTAGTGTCGCTTCATCTGAGAAACCTTTTATGACCGCGTCATCTGAGTAGATCCTCCATTGTTTTCTGTAATACAATTCCATGTAATTTTTTTTCTCAGTGTATATCTTACCTTTTAATGATTTTCATTTGTTTATTTGGTTGTTTATTATATGTCTCCTCACTAAAACGTCAACTCCATGAAAGCAGAGACCTTGGAGATTAGCTCACTTCTTGCTATTAGGTGCTCAGGTTAAATCTTATTTAACCACCAAAGTTTTGAAAGTTTGTAATTATTTCATTTGAACAGATTCAGAATGTATACAATATAATTTTCTGCCTAGGGAGCACAGTGCAGTCTCAGGCTGATCTTTACAGTGGTCGGTTTTTGTACTGTGCTGTCTTAAAACGTGCCCTTAAGGTCTTTATGCTAAGTGAGCTCAGATTATAGCCTTGTTCATATTTAGCCCACTTAAATATATTTTAATCATAGCACTGTTATGTGCTCCTTGTTAATAAAAAAGGGCCTAGAATGTCCCTAGCCCTTGCACTCACTTATTTGCAGACTTAGCCACAGGCAATCACTGTTATTCCTTTGTGTTTTTTTCTTCTGGTGTTTTTTTCATACCTCTAAGTGTTAGTCTTATATATTTCATGCAGTAGACCTGATCTTTACATTTCTGGCTCTAATAGGTAAGGATTTAACTCATCTCACCCCTTACCATTTTTATAGTTTTTATTAAACAGTAAGTAGCACTCTTCTATTTCTTGTTCATAAGTGTAAGTGATATCTCTTGATTCCCTAAGTCGAAGATTAGCAAGTACACCTTCTTCCTCCCTTTTACCTACCAATCCTGTATTGTCATAGTTGATAGCTCTTACATTCTGTACTGTAACCATCATTACATCTGTGCTCTGTCTGTAGGTTGACTTATTGTTTCTACAGAAATAGCATCAATTGCAAAGTAGTAGGTTTTTATTATGGTTCCTTTTCCACAGTGCTGTTGTTTATGACCCCCTCCCTGACGCAAAAGAAAATGTTCAAAATGACTGCCTTTACCCATCACCTAGCAATCAAGATTATGATACATTTTAATTTTCTTCTTCTTTGGACCTTGCCTTTTAGATTCATTTTGTTGTTGCTTTTCCTGTCGCAGGACCACACGTGCCTTAATGATAGTCTGGGCATCGTGCCACTCTTTCTAATTGTAATAGTTGCTTACAATCGGTTCTCTTCATCTTGAAGTCCAAGTAAATTCCTGTCCTGATTTGTATTTCATAGCTTCGTAGTTGGATCACAGCTTTCTTACACATCTTCCACCTTGCCTACTGCATCATATTTCTAGTTGCCCTTTTACCTTCCTTACAGTTCTTCTATCACACTCTCATTTTTACCATTTCTGTCAATTATAGCCTAAGGTAATTTCATATGACTTACATTTTTTCAAACGTGTTTATTTCAAACTTAATCGTTTGGCTTGATATACAATTCTAGATTGAAAATAACACGCCCTCAAAACTCTGAAGGCATTATTCTGTTATCTGCCAGCCTCTAGTGTTGTAAAATATCACAATATGTTGGTCTTTTCTTATTCCTCTTATTCAGAACCTGGGAAGTAATTTTAATTTGAATACCTAGTCTCCTTTAATTGTACTGTGTTTCCAGAAAATTTCCTTTGTCTCTTCTCTTTTTGGGGCTCCTTCTATGTGAAGATTGGGCTTATTGGATTATATGCCTAGGTACCTCTCTCCTTCCTCCCACCAATATTGTCCACCTGTGTCCATTTTGTTCTTTGAATTTTATTTAACTCTATCTACTAATATTGGTGTTTCATTTGAGAAATCATATTTTCTATTTATAAGTGCTCGCTCTTTTACTTTCCTTGCTCTTTTTTTTTTTTTTTTATATGGCATTGTTATTTTTTTGTGAATACTGTTGGCAAAAGCAACAGTATGATCATCCTGCCATGGGCTTTGATGATCCTGCATGTTCTTGCTGGGCATGCCAAGAATGCCAAGGGTTGTGTGTGCGGTGACAAGCCTTAAGGAGTGACATTATTTGTTTCACTGAACAAAGCATGGGGTTTATCATCATGTGCTATAAAAACAGTAAGTCCTCCAAACTCAGCATGGCTGTCCTGTAACACAGTGAACTGTGTGTGCAGGTATTCAGGAAGGGCCTTTTGTGCTACCCCATGAACTTGGGGGCATGGGGAACTGATGCAAACAAACACGAAGAATAAAGTCCATAAGGTCTCTAACCCAGGAGTCTCATGGCTTCTGCCAGCATCCATGAAACAGTAATAGGCTAGCTCGTTAGCAAGATGAAATCTCAGAGCCAGCATCTCTGCTGCTTCTAATCCAGTATTTCTCCTAGCTTCTCCTTGTACTGCAGTCTTCTCTGGGATTGTAACTTCCTCCATCAAAACTTTTCCACTAGCCTTATGTTTTCCAGATAGTTCTTGAACTCGTTTATCTGCTGCTGACTCCACTCCGAGTCTCTTTGTGACTGTGGGGTTATACCTTTTTATATCTATACTTCTTTTGGGAGAGACTCCCCAGATCTCCTGTGAATAGTCAACCGTATGGAAGAAGCCCCCTCCCCTCTTTTTAAAATTAAAGTTTTAGCAATCACTGTTGCTTCTTTTTCCATGACTATACCTACATCCTTCTAGCAACACCGTTTCTTTATTTCCACTCCCTGCCTTCACCTAAATATAGAGCTTTAGTACCTGGCATATCAACAAAATGTCCAATAGAAACAAATTCAAAATAGGAGTAAATATGCTCTTAGAGAAGAGCTTGTTTGTGGCATTTGGTTTAGCTACTCAAATTTTTGCTTACTTTTAGGTGTGAATGTAAATGCATTTTTAGATAGATGGAATATATAAAGGTGCAGTACAACTGTATTTACAGTTTTAAAACATATATCCATGATTTTTATTTCTCCATTAAAGTGAATTCCAAAATTCTTAAAAATTGCTCTATGCCTGTTACTAAAAATCATCAGAAGATTTAAGTTATATGTATAGGAGACGGCACAAAATGATTTTATCCCCTGTAATAAGAGTTGTCGGGCTTCTTATTTAAAGGGTCAGGATGGGCTTTTTTGCCCACACGCTTTCTATTAGAACTCCTCCACTCTGCCCTTATGTAGTGTAATAGCAAACATAGCAGTAAGTAAAGGAATCAGTGTGGCTGTGATGCAGTAACCCTTTATTCACGAATGATAAAGTTTGAATTCTGTATAATTTTTACGTCATGGAATATTCTATTTTTTTACCTCCGTTTAAACTATAAAATCTACTCTTAGCTTGCAGTTCATACTAAAACAGACCAACTCTTGTCCCAGAATTACCTGTTTTATTAATAGCTTTGTTAATGTTCCAATACTGATAATGTTTCTACTCTGTCCCATTATCCTTATCAGGCAAGCTAACGAAGAATATCAAATACTGGCTAACTCGTGGCGCTATTCCTCTGCTTTTTGTAACAAACTCTTCTTCAGTATGGTGGACTACGATGAGGGAACAGATGTTTTTCAGCAGGTAAAAGAGTCTTATTTTAATAACATATTTAATAGAGTTAGTTAAGATTGCCGCATCTCTGTTTGCCAGATAAAAATACAATTCAGTTCATGCAATGAGTAGTTATTAATTATGTGATATGATTACAATAATTACAGTCAATGTTACCTTTATCAGTACGTAGTTTTTGCCATTAGTGAATCAACACATTTTGACTTTTCCATTATAGAGGAAGTATGTTTTTTCAGCATACAGTGGCAGTTTACATGCATTAGCCTTATTTTGATATATTGTATGTGGTTTGGGTGGTATTTTGCATAAATTTGTGAAATTTTATATAAGATTCAGTGTAAGTTTTACTTAACCTTTATGCTGCTTTGGGGGGATATAAGGCCTTTAAGGGGGTAATTAAAGTTATATGAGGTCATAAGGATGGGACCCTCACCCAATGGGACTCACGTCCTGCTTCCTATAAGGATACCAGTCCTATTGGAATTTGTCGCGATTACATCATCATCGCTAACATTGAGTCCTTATAAGTCCAAGGACTCTTCTAAGTACTTCATGTGTTTTCTTTCATTTAGCGTCATAACAATCCAAAGAGAAATATGTTTTTTTGTTTTTTGTTTTGTTGTTTTGCGGTACGCGGGCCTCTCACTGTTGTGGCCTCTCCCGTTGTGGAGCACAGGCTCTGGACGCACAGGCTCAGCAGCCATGGCTCACGGGCCCAGCCACTCCGTGGCATGTGGGATCTTCCCGGACCGGGGCACGAACCCGTGTCCCCTGCATCGGCAGGCGGACCCTCAACCACTGCGCCACCAGGGAAGCCCGAAATATGTTGTTTTTATCTCTATTTCATAGATGAGGAAATTAAGGTATGGAGAGGTTAACATCACTTGTGCAAGGTTACAGAGTTAGTATATGGAGATAATAAAATAAAATGGTGATAGAATTTGAGCTCAGCTGTCTGGCTTCTTGATCCCTGCTGTTACCCTGCAGTTATTAATTTCTTGTATTTATCACTACTTGATCATGCCTTTCAAATGTAAAACTTAGTGCCATACCCAGCATTGATTAGTTTGGGTATCTTGGTCTATTTTATTTTTCTCACATGTGACACTCTGGTGCAGTTCTTTACCACGTCATGAAAAAGTATGTAGTTCTGTAAAGACTCAAGCTAATTGTAAATCGTCCATTAGTGAGTGTTTCTGCTTACTTGCTTCCAGATTGATAATTCATTCTTCTTTGACAGTTTCTAGTTGAATAGAATAAATTCTCTCCTTTTGCCTTCAATACCCTTTACTCTTGGGCTTTCCTATTAGTATTCTTCATTTATTTTTTTCTTACAAATTTATTTTACCTTTTGGGCATGTTGCCTTTTGTCCGTCTATTCAGGAAGTATTATTGAATTGGTGAGAAAAACATACATAGTTCTTCCCCATAAGGAGCTTATAGACTAGGGAGCTAATAATATAAAAATAAAGAAAAACACATAAACATAAATGTGTAATTTCAAATAACCTCGTAAAGGTAAATTACAGTACTATAACATCCAAATATTTTTTCATGTAATTTATACGTCTGTGTAGAATCTCAGGAGACTTGGCCTTAGAGATCATCAGATGGTAGTGCTATATATATAGCATTTGGTATATACATGAATATATATGTTCACTCAGTATATACATGAATCCTCTCTGCCATCTTAGAAAACAGTCACCCAGGTCCAGTCTGATTGCTAGAGCAGAGGCTTCAAGCCCAAACATCTACCCTGGCCAGGCGTGGAAGCTGAATGAGGGAAACCAGTTACATGAGTTTAGTTTCATTATGGGATCTTTGTTTATGTACATACTTAGTATATTAAAAACATTAGTTCTTCACTTGAATAATTAAATATGTTCCCTCCTATCTTTATTAGAACAAAATCTTTCTTGGTCTTTTTTTAAAAAATAAATATTTAATGGAAACACTCAAATTTCACTTTTTTCCTAACTGCTGTAAGAAATAAAATCAGCAGAATGCCATGCAGCTGACCGTTGGTTTCACTGGCATGGGTGGGGCTACAGCGGACTGGACAGGACCAGCCGACCCAGTGAGGGAGATGCAGCTCAGCTCTCTCTCTAGTGAAGAAATGCATGCTAGTGGAGCTAGATCTGTTTTTCAAGTAGAGACCCAAATAATGAATTTTTATATGAAATTTCTCTATCTTTAAAATGTTGGTAGCTAATTCGAATTAAAGAAAACTAAACAAAATTATGGGACAAAGTAATCCTTCCTTTGTGCTAGGTACTGACTGTATAGGCTGCCAGTATATAAACATATAGATATACTGTTAGATATAATTGTTGAGTTCTTTTATATGCTTTAAACATTTTTTTAAACTTTGGCATAGATGTAAGAGTTGAAGTCAAGGGCTTCCCTGGTGGCGCAGTGGTTGAGAGTCTGCCTGCTAATGCAGGGGACACGGGTTTGAGCCCTGGTCTGGGAGGATCCCACATGCCACGGAGCAACTGGGCCCATGAGCCACAGCTACTGAGCCTGCGCATCTGGAGCCTGTGCTCTGCAACAAGAGAGGCTGCAACAGTGAGAGGCCTGCGCACCGCGATGAAGAGTGGCCCCTGCTCGCCGCAACTAGAGAAAGCCCTCGCACAGAAATGAGGACCCAACACAGCCTAAATAAATAAATAAATAAATAAATAAATTTATTAAGAAAGAAAAAAAGAGTAAAGTCAAGATTGTTTTTAATTGAAAAATTTCCTCAGGTTAATTTTGAATCAGCAGAATTCCAAACACAGCACTGCTTTGTTTTTCCAAAACCTAGCCCCTGGCTTAGCAATAAGAGTTTTCATTTTAAAATGCAGCATTGCATAAAAGTTATAGCTGCTAATGATTTTTATGGGGAATTATAATCTACAAAAATAGCGAAGTGTATATTTTGTTTTACTTGGGAACTACTAAAAGGTTCTTAATGCGTATGTTTTCTTTCTTGCTAAGTACTGAATCGCATTTTGTTGAAGTACTCTCTCTAAACTGATGTTTTAAAGCACTGTCGCTGTGGTGTCGTCTGGATATGATATTAAGAACAAGTGAAGAAATTTGACAATCTCTGGCTTGTTGGAGACTTGTTTGGAAAGTAAATTATATGTGATTCCCGTGTGATGGCTGAGGCTAAAGTGTCTGACAGCAGGCCAACAAGTTAATGATGTGTTAGAAGGTGCTCTGCACTAGCAGTCAGGAGTGTGTTGTACCCTGCTTTGTGTAGCCTTGGGAATTTGTACATTTTAATTAAGGTGAAAGCTTTGAATTGTATTTTTTTAACTCTAAAATTCTAGGATGTGAAGTGTCCTAGCGTGGAGTTTCTGATTGTTCTAATGCAGGGACTTCCTCTCCCTTGAATCTTACATTTACATATTGGCTGTAGCTATCTCTTGTGCATCTGTCAGGAAACACATGAACAAAATGTGGAGGGGGAGATATCACAGGGAAGAGAGGAATTGGTGACTGTGTTCTGTTCAATTTAATAAAAATTGCTAAATGTCCGTAACATGCAGGCCCACAGCTGGTACTGCTGTATCTTTACCTTGATGACAGCAAGCATGATCTGATGTTTGTTGTTACTTCAATTTGCTTTTTATTCTCATTATTGGGGAATTCTGAACTATATATTGGAAGTCAGGGCCAAAAATCTCTTTGCCTTTTATTTGAAACATTTTTCATAATTCTTGGGCAGCAAGGGTTTAATCTGTATGTATGTTTTGCAGTTTACTCCTCAATGCAAATTAACCTCATATTTGTTTTTAGATATGATATTGTTTATACTAGTGTTTTATTCAGTATACTTTTCAAATGGAGCTTGCCTTTAGAAAATAGTTATGAGATATAACCATTTTGAGACAGTTGAAATAATGGAGGAGTTGAACAAAAGTCTTTAAAGTTTTAACAAAGAAGTCAATATACTTGAAATTAATTACATGATATATTTATATCTTTCATCAAATGCCGGTCCTTTTTCTTTAATAACTGCTTAAGAAGTGAAAACAGTCCATGTACCACCAAATTACAGCGTTTCGATTTTGCACTTTGAATCATTTCATTCTTTAGTTGTAGAATTCTAGAAAATAAAGATGGAAATGGCCGATGAAATAGATGATGCAACTGAGAACGTGAATGATGTATGTTAAATGTGAAGGTTCGGCAAGCTTGGCCTAATCCCTAAGTTCTTTTCTATTCAACAATATAGTAAGATGACTAAAAACAGTAGTTAAGCTCTGGAAAGAAAACAGTAGTTAAGCTCTGGAAAGCCACTTGGATTTTCATAATAAACACTATCTTTCCAGAATTCATGCAGGAAAAAACCCCATAAAATGTCAGATGAAGGATATATGAAGATTGGTGGGATATTGTATTTAGTATGTTTTATCTCGTGTTTTACAGCTCAACATGAACTCTGCTCCTACATTTATGCATTTTCCTCCAAAAGGCAGACCCAAGAGAGCTGATACTTTTGACCTTCAAAGAATTGGATTTGCAGCTGAGCAACTAGCAAAGTGGATTGCTGACAGAACTGATGTTCATGTATGTTCATATTTCCTACCAGTTTTAATAACAGGCTAATTAGTGTGGTTTGGTAGAACATTGTAATAAGGCCACAGGATTTTTTTTTTGTTTTTTTCAATTTCTCTATGGAACATTTCTCCTTGCTTCAAGAAAACTGCATCTGATAGCTGTAAGTTAAACTTTGAGTTAGGTGAATTTAAATGGTTTTTAAAATAATGGCTCTTAAAATATCAGGGAACCATTAAAGAATACGTAAGTTAGGCACAAAGTAATTTCACAGTCTAAAAAATATACTGACTGTTGCTCAGCGGTCTTAGTAATCAAAGAAATTCTAATTAAAAAGCCAGATGTATAATTTTTAACTATCCTTTGAGCAAATAAAAATGGGATAATACCCACTTTTTCATGAGCCATGTGAGAAAATGCCACTGACATATACTGTGCTTGGGACTATAAATTGGTGTAACTATTCTAATGGTATGTGTCATGTCTTTATTTTATGGAATTTAACTTAATAACTCCACTTTAAGGAATTTAACTTAAGGATATAATCAGGAATGATTTAAATTCTTAACCATAGGAAAAAAATTTTAAATGTTCATTTTAATGGAAAAAATCGTAAAGAAATCAAATGTGTAAAAATAAGAGACTAATTAAATGTGCCAGAGTCTAGACAGTGGTTTGCAAGAATATCTGATGTAGAAAGAAGCTTAAGGTATAACAAGTGAAAAAGTAGGTTAGAAAGATAGTATTTATAGTATGACTCAGTAAAGCATAAATATGAGTGTAGATGTATAGACAGTTTATTCAGCAAGTAAATGAACAAAAATGTTGATGATAGTTCATGTCTGTGTGGAGCGCTTAATGTCACCAGAATGTTCTACAGTGAACAATTATAACCAGCTACTTTAAAATTATATTTACCTTAGAAGTAATTCAGAAGCATTGATTTTTTACCATAGGGTGTAAACACATTTATTCTCAGTTGAGAAAGACGTCTCTCATATTATACTACCGTCATCGTAAATAAAATAATATAGGTATTAATGATATTTCAGTGACTAAACTTACTTCCTAACTCATCAGTTTTTTGGAAATGTTTTGGCAGATATTCAGCTCTACAATGTATCATTTATTTGGTACAAAATATTAAAGGTAATATGGAAAAGTACTATTAATTCTTTATAAGAAATACTAAATTTTAATCAGAAATGATTCTAACCTGTTATCATACTTACGCATTGTTAGTAGATATATATTTTTTTACAAATGTGGATCTATTTATAAATAATTTCAAATTAAAAAGTTCCACAGATGAAAATAGTATAAATAGTTCCAGTGTATACCCTTTATCAGGATTCACATAGTGTTGACTTTTTACAACTTTTGCTTTGCCATTCTTATTCTCTTACCTCTCCCCCACCCTGTCTCTCCACACATACTTACACACCCACACACAGTCTTTTTCTGAACCATTTTAAGGTGAATTGCATCTCCTAAGAAATACATGAAGATGGTACGGTTATCACCTTCACAGATTTACATTGGTATAATATTTCTATTTGAGCTATGGTATATATTCTAGCTTTGTCAGTTGACCTAATACTATCCTTTAATAATATTTTCCCACCTTCAGTACAAGATCCAGTCTAGAGTTAGGTATTACATTTACTTGTCCTTTAGCCTTGTTTAACCTGGAACATTTCCATAACTTATCTAAAACTTTGACATCTTGAAGAATATAATCCTCTCGCACTTTTTGAACTGAATGATCCTTATTTGATTTGCCTGATGTTTTTTTTTTTTTGACTGGATTCTGCTAATGCATTCTTGACCACAATACCACAGAGGTCATGTTTTGTTCTAACTACATGTATAGCCCATGATGCCCTCTGTCCCTCACTGGTGATGTTAATTTTGAACATCTTATCATGGTGTCTTTCATTTCTCCATTATGTAATTACTATTCTCCCCCCGCCACTTTCTAATTAGTAAGCTATCTATGTGGAGACACCTTAAGATCATGCAAATATCTTACTCCTCATCAAAATTTTGTCAATATTTAGCATCCATTGATGAACCTTGCCTGATCCAGATTTTATCATGATGGTTGCAAAATGATGATGTTCCAGTTCTAGCACTTTGTCCATATTTCTAGTTGGCTCATAGCATTCTACTGTAAGCAAGAGTCCTCCCCTCTTTATCACTTACTCATTCATTGGTACAGACTCATGAATTGCTTTTTTTTTTCCTCCAGTGGTTTGTAAGTTATTACTGTGCCTAAATGTTTTGGTGCCAAAATTGTTCTAGATTTGACTAGTGGGTGTCCCTTCATGCTGGCTTCCCTGTCCTTGTAACATGTCTCCATCATTTTCTTTTAAACACTTTCTTACTTTCTGACATAATATGTCTCAGGATCATCTTGTATCTACACATCTATTCTACCCAGTGCTCAGTTAGCCATCTCTCCTAGGAGCCTTGGTTTCCTCTCATGGGGAATGTTACTGGAACCAAGATCTGTGAAATTGTGTTTATGATTTTCAGTTACAGCTACTTTAAAAAAAGTAGTCTGTGTGCTTTGATAGTCACCATCAAAAACTGAGAAGACAACCCAAGAATGGGAGAAGTGTTTGCAAATCATTTTTCTTATAAGGGACTTGTATCTAGTATATATGTAGGACTCTTAATAACCGATAAAAAGGCCACCCAATTAAAAAGTGGACAAAGGATGTGAATAGACATTTCTTCAAGGAAAGTATACAAGTGGCCAGTAAGTACAAAAAAGATGCTCAACATCATTAGTTATCAGCAAAATGCAAATCAAACCCACAGTGAGATACCACTTCACACCCACTAGGGTGGCTAGAATCAAGAAATGATGTCATAAGCATTGGCAAAAATGATGTCATAAGCATTGGCAAGTAAGTGGAGAAATACGAACCCACATACACCACTGGTGGGAATGCAAAATAGTGCAGCCACTTTGGTAAACAGTTTGACAATTCCTCAAACCATTAAACATAGAGTTTCTATGTGACCCAGCAATCCCACTCCTAGGTATATACCTGAGAGAAATGAAAACATACACCTACACAAGAACGGGTACAAGAGTGTTTATAGCAGCATTATTCATAATAGCCACAAGGTGGAAACAACCCAAATACCCATCAACTGATTAAGTGATTAATGGATAAACAGAATGTGATATCCATACAATGGAATATTCAGCCATAAAAAGGAATGAAGCAGTGGCACATTTTCCAACAAGGATGAGCCTTGAAAAGATGATGCTAAGTGAAAGAAGCCAGTTACAAAAGACTACATACTATATGAAATTCCAGAATAGGGAAATGTATAGAGACAGACAGTAGATTTATTAGTGGTTGCTTAAGGTTGGAGGGTGAGAGGAATAAGGGAGTGAATGCTAAAGGGTATGGGATTTCCTTTTGAAGTGGTGATGGTTGCACATACCTGTGAATATGCTAAAAAAAAAAATTGGATCGTGCACTTTCAAAGGGTGGATTGTATGGTATATGGATTATAGCTCAATAAAGCTATTAAAAAAAAACCTTTTAAAAAGTTCCAATTTGAAATAATACAAGTATTATATACCCCCCATCTCACCTCTACTTTTTACCAGATGATTCCATGTTCCATGGGTGAACCAGAACAGCTCTGGGATGAATATAAGTAGGTTTTGCATATATTTAACTGTATTCACCTAAAAGCACCTTAAAAGCAAGTCGTGTTACATAGCCATGATGTTTTAAGGCATGTATTTTTTGACTCATAAAGAGCAAAAGGAATGTTATTTCCAGGTATGAAAAGTAAGGTGACACCTTTCTGAATTATTTGTGTTAAAAGACTGGAAGGACTAGAATATGGTTCAGCGAAAAAGATTAATATTTTTCTTTAACTTTCTTTCATTGTATTCTTGCAGATTCGTGTCTTCAGACCACCCAACTACTCTGGCACCATTGCTTTGGCCTTGTTAGTGTCACTTGTGGGTGGTTTGCTGTATTTAAGAAGGAACAACTTGGAGTTCATCTATAACAAGACTGGTTGGGCCATGGTATCTCTGGTATGTTAACACATTTACCCCATTTCTTTGTGTAATGGTATAAGTTGTATAATATTAACAAAATGAGCCAGATTATTACTATAATGGAAATCAAGTCTGGATGAGAGGAATTAACTTTTTAGGACTGAAGGTGATATAATTTAAGTTCAGTTAGTCTAGACTGTGCTATCTTCCTTCTACATTTCACTTTTAAAATGTAATGTCTTTCCCTGTGTACTTGGCATATTACAAGTGCCAAATGAATATGTTGAATACATTTAGAAATATACTAAGAATTAGTAGTTTGGAGACTCTTACAAACTGAAGCAATTGGAAATGTACTCATTCAGTTGTTTTTATCCAGCACCTCTTTTCTTGTGTCTCTACTATGTTCCTGATGTTTATTAGGTACTGGAGGTATAAAGGTAAGACATAGACCCTACCTGTACGTAATTCATCGTGGGGATACAAGCTAATCAGAAGACAAATACAGTGTAATGTTACACATGCTGTGATGGAGGTAAGCACGAAATATCATAGGAAGGTCACCTAATCTTGAGTGACGAAGGTCATCACAGGCTTCCTAGAGTGTGTGACATCATTTATGTTTTAGAATGATCACTTTGGTAGCAGTGGGCAATCAATTGAAGGGTATGTCTGGGATCAGGAAACCTGGTTAGGATACTATTAGGAGAATCCAGGTGAACGTGATCCTATTTCAGTTTGTACTAAAAGGATTTTTCTTCCCTTTATGATTGTGCTAAATTAAAAAAAAATAATTAGCTAATAAAATGGAAATGTGAACAGTATATAAATAAAATATATTCAGTGATATATCTGATATTTAATAGTTATACTAATTAAAAATATTGGTGTAAAATAATATAAATGGTAGCGTAATATCTATATTATGCAAACAGACTTAAATTCTTACTAGAAAATGGAGCTTTCCTAATTATAGTGGGTTAATATTTTTCTCTTTGCTTTTTATATTTTAAAGACATATGACTGTTTAAAGCAAAATATAACACTGCATTGATGGATTGGTGGGTTTGTTGTGTGTGCATGACAGTAGCATGTTAAAGGATAAATTGAGCTATGTTGTTGAAAAGTTCCTATATTTTACCTGATGTTGTTCAGTATCAACTTTAACTTGACTAGGATGAGTTTAAGATACATATTGTAACCCTCAGAGGAACAATTGAAAACATAATACAAAGAGATTAGCTGGAAAGCTAAGATAGTGATTAAAATGGAATACTAAAAATATATAACACAAAGGAGGAATGAAAGGAGGAACAGAGGAGTAAAACACAAGAAACCCAGTACAATTTAGAAAATGACAGACCTAAATACCATCATATCAGTCATAGATCAATATACTTATGTACTTTAAATATAAACAGTTTTAGTACCTCAAAGGATAGATATTGTCAGTTTGGACCAAAATGCAATAGCAGACTATGTGCTGTCACACAGAATATGTAAAGGATTATTGCTACTCAGTTATAAGACAGAAATCATGGTTTTAAAAAATGACACTCTGTTTATAGGTAAGATGGCATTATACATATGCCAACCTTTTCCTCCTGGTGATATAACTATAAAACCTGGAGAGAATGCAAGGCCCAAGTATTTGATGTTTTTAAAAAGTGTCAGCAGGTAGATCAGGTAAGAACATCAGCTTTCAAAATGACATCTAATTAGAAGATGTTGAGGGTTGATAATTTTTTGTTTACTATTTTGGTTTTTCTTGACTTAAACTCAGTTCAGCTTGAAAGTTGAAAGTGAGCCATGTGGAGCAAAGATATCTAGAAGATATCTGTGGTTCTGGCTCAAGTAGCAGTAAAGGGAATCTATAAAGCTCATCAACAAAATGAAAAGCTTTTGGTGTCATATTCAAAATATTGCTGTGAAGACTAATGTCAGGGAGCTTTTTCCCTATATTTCTTCTGGGAGTTTTACAGTTTCAGGTCTTATATTTAAATCTTGAATCCATTTTGAGTTAATTTTTGTGAGTGGTATAAGATAGGAAGTAGTTATTCACATTATTTTGTATGTGAATATTCACTTTTCCCAGCACTGTTTATTGAGGGGACTGTCCTTTCCCTTTCCATGATGTACATTCTTTGCTTTCTTGTCAAATATTTATTGATGGCATATACATTAGTTATTTGTGAGCTCTCAATTCTATTCCATTGGTTTATGTGATTTTTATGGTGGTACCCTACTGTTTTGATTACTGTAGCTATGTTATATAGTTTGATTTCAGGAAATGTGATGCTTCCCACTTTCTTTTTTTCTTAGGATTGCTTTGGCTATCTGGGATCATTTTGTGGTTCCATATGAATTTTTGTATTGTTTTTTCTATTTCTGTGAAAAATGCCATTGGAATTTTGATAGTGATTGCATTGAATCTATAGATGGCTTTGGGTAGTGTGGACATATTAACAATATTAATTCTTCCAATCTAGGTAGTGGGATATCTATAGTTGGACACAAGATACTTCCCATTTGTTTTCTTTAATTTCTTTCATGAATGTCATGTACAGATCTTTCACCTCCTTAATAAAATGCTTAGGAATAGAATTTAACTGTTTTTGATGCTGTTGTAAATGGGATTTTTAAATTTCTTTTTTGGATAATTTATTATTAGTGTAGAAATGCAACTGAGTTCTGTATGCTGATTTTGTTTTGTTATTTGGCTGTGTTGGGTCTTCATTGCTGTGTGTGGGCTTTCTTCGCTAATCCTTGTTGCGGTGCGCAGGCTTCTCATTGCAGTGGCTTCTCTGTTGTGGAGCATGGGCTCTAGGCGCGTGGGCTTCGGTAGTCATGGCACACGGGCCCAGCAGTGGCACAGGGGCTTAGTTGCTCCACGGCATGTGGGATCTCCCTGGACCAGGGCTCAAACCTGTGTCCCCTGCATTGGCAGGCAGATTCTTAACCACTGCACCACCAGGGAAGTCCTTGTATGTTGATTTTGAATCCTGCAACTTTAATGAAGAAATCAGTGATTAGTTCAAACCCTTTTTTGGTGCAGTCTTTAGGAAGATCATATCATCTGCAAACACAGTTTCACTTCTTTTCTGATTTGAATATCCACTATTGCTTTTTCTTGCCTAATTGCTCTAGATAGTACTTTAGTACTATGTTGAATAAGATTGATGATAGGACACCCTTTCTTGTTCCTGATCTTAGAGGGAAAGCTTCCAGCCTATCACAGTTGAACATGATATTAGTTGGGAGTTTATTGTATCTGGCTTTTATCATGTTGTTGTACATTCTTTCTATACCCAATTTATTGAGTTTTTATCATGAAAGGATGTGGAATTTTGTCAAATGGTTTTTCTGTATCAACATCAATGATCATGTGAGTTTTATTCATTTTGTTAATTGATGTATCTCATTGATTGATTTGCAGATGTTGAATCGTCTTTACATCCCAGGGATAAATCCTAATTTTTAATGGTGTATGATTGTTTTACTGTGCTGTTGAATTTGGTTTACTGTATTTTGTTGAGAATTTTTCATGTATATTCAGCAGGGATATTGATCTGTAGCTTTATCTTTTCGTATTGGTGTAATACTGGCCTCATACAATGAGTTGGGGAGTGTTCCCTCTTTAATTTTTTGGAAGAGTTTGAAAAGGATTGGTATTAATTCTTCTTTAAATATGTGGTAGTATTTTCCAGGGAAACCATCTGGTCTTGGGCTTTTCTTTGTTAGGAGGTCATTAATTATTGATTCAATCTCCTTACTTGTTATAGGTCTGTTCAAATTTTCTATTTCTTCATGATTCAGTCTTGATAGGTTTGTGTTTCAAGGATTTATCTGTTTCTTCTAGGTTATCCAATTTGTTGGCATACAGTTGTTCATAGTAGTCTCTTATAATCCTTTGTATTTCTGTAGTTTGAGTTTAATGTCTCCTCTTTCATTTTATTCATTTACCTTGTCACTTGCAATCATTTTTTCCTTCATGTCTATTTTGTTTGATGAGTGCATAGCTACTCTGTTTTTTCTTTTGGTTTCCACTTGTGTGAAATATCTTTTTCCATCCCCTTTTTTGAAAGTATTTGTCTCCTTGAAGCTGAAGTGAGATTCTTGAGGGCAGCATATAGTTATGTCTTTCTTTTTTATCCATTTGTTCACTCTGTGCCTTTTGTTTGGATAAATTAATCCATTTATATTTAAAGTAACTTTTGATAGATAAGGACTTACTAATGTTATCTTATTAACTGTTTTCTAGTACCATATTACAGTTTTAGAGTATTCTGAATTTGACTATATACTTGCCTTTACCAGTGTGTTTAGCATGAAGAATGTTTTTCAGTATTTCTTGTAAGGCAAATCGATTGGTGATGAACTTCTTACCTTTTGTTTGTCTGGGAAAGTTTTTATCTATCCTTCATCCCTGAAGGACAACTTTGCCAGGTAAAGTTCTCTTGGTGGGCATTTTTTTTTTCTTGTAGCATTTTTAATGCTTCTTTCCACTGTCTCCTGGCTTGCAAGGTTTCTGCTGAGAAATACACTGATAGTCTTAAGGGGGTGTATCATGGAGAAGATGATTTAGGGTTGAAATTTGGTGGTACTATGCTGGGAGAACAGTATTTTGCAAAGTGGAGAAAATAAATTAGGGCACGATTGTTCACGTGATTGTGTTTAGCAAATATGCTTAGAGAGAGTAGTTTTGAAAATAAGTTACTGCTGTTAAAAACTATCTTTTTTTTCCCCTCAATTTTAATTACATCAGGAAGGGACATTCCCTAGGGATAACCTCTAATAAGCAAAGCAATCCTTTGACTTTTTCCTATGTTTATAAAGACCTTTATGTAAATTATCCATATTTTATGTAAATTATCCATATGTATACGTATTTTTAAAAATATATTGTTCAGTGACAGTTGTATTTGTTTCCTAATTGTGAAAATTCAGATTTCTGTTTTGGGGGTTCTTTTCCTCAGGCATTATTTCCTAAACTTTCTGCCCCTTTCTTCTTTTCCCCTGGGACTCCAGTAATGCAC